AACAAAAATCACACTGCGCGGGACTCAACCCACAGCAACTGAAATCAATTGCATGCTTACCACGTAAATTCAAACGGAAGAATAGGAATTATATATTCAATAAGTTGACCGTCTTGAAGTTTTGTATGTCAATTCTAATCAGGTGTGGGCATAGCTGATGCGCCTCGAAAAATCAAAAGCTTCCGGTCTCGAAGAACTATGTCCAGTGGTCCTCAGGGAATGTGCGCATTATCTGGCTAAGCCACTTGCCAATATTTTCAACTGTTGCTTCGAGGAACAAAAAACTGCTGACTGCGCGCATCACATCAGTCACAGAAAAAGCCGGGAAATTTCGACTAATCACCTGCACTTCCGTTTTACTAAAAAATGTTAGGCTTGGGCTTAGTAACATTATTCCTAAAACTGGACAGTTAGATTACAATCGATTCGCTTACCGTAAACAAAGTTCTACCTTAGACGCCCTTGCACATTTGGTAAACTCAGTTTTGCAATGCATGGTACGGTAGTTCGTTTGTGTTACCTCGACTACAGTAATGCATTCAATTGTGTCAACAGGGGCAGACTTTTGTCTCTACTGCTAGAACACACTTCACGAAGTTTTTTGGACAAATTTCTGACTCGTTGAGGGTCAATTCAGTGGTGTTTCGAGGAGCAATACTGTCTCCCTTTCTTTTCTGTTTCTATATTCCAGGCCTACACATATATCCAGATGATCTTATCAAGTATGCTGAGGATTTCACCATGGGTTCCAAACTCCTAGATGATTTCCGTTTTTTCACAACTTCAAGGCAGATGAGCCTTAAGCTTATGGTTTTGGTACTCTGGATTACCTATTAGCATCTTCAAATTTAGGGACATCACCTTCTCACTAGCTAAATGAGAATGGCTACATTCTTTTGAAAGAAATTGCTTGGTACTCTATGTCGGTAACCAGTATGCTTTTCCAGTACGTTCTTTACAATACCTTTGTGTTGCAATCTTCCAAGAGCTCACGTGGACTTCATATTTCAACCGTACTTTAAAAAAGATTCGACGATTGCTCCCGCTTGTGATGTTTAAGTCTCCGCGGTATTTGTTCACTCGTTTTGTATATTCATTTGTTGTCACTCATCTTTACTACCTACCAGTTTTAATTGCTGCTCTTAGAGTTAAAGACTATGCGATTCTACGTCGTTCTGTTGAAGTTATTTCATGCACAAGCGGTATTCCGTATTTACACTAGCTCAACTTTATCGCCGACAAACGTTCTACCCCCTGCGAAAACTTCTGCAACAATATTCTGCCTGACACTACTCACCTATCACACACAGAACTCGGACATTTTGTATCCACTTTCTCAACCAGGTGTCATTTACCAACTTGTGTACATTCCGATAACTGCGTGTTGTTTGTCCGTTATCCCATATCTTTCGAGGTTTCTGGATCAGAAAATATCCGTCGGACACAACCTTTTACAAATCCTAGTCAAATGATATCCATTCTCACATTTTATGCCACCTTCCCCTCTTAAATTTACTACGCTGGATTTTACTTCTTCTGACACTATAGGGGATGATAAAGACCCTGGTGTGCATTGAATCGAAAATCCATCCATTAAGATGAATAAGGCAATCTGTGACTTGACTCGGTGCACACCTGCTTTGCACTGTGTAGTCACCGGACACACCTCATAACATCATCTTGTTGATCCAGTGATAACATAATATGAATTTAACAAAGTTTCATAACCACTAGAACCATTAGTGTTCGCAGAAATGGGAAAGCTTCCCACGAGTGTTACATTATTGACACACCTCAGTATGCCGTTAATAGTGTGTAGAGCTGTCAAAGTAGACGTACCTGTACGGTTAGATACTTCACCAAGCTGCTCAAGCGATTATGCACATGGGCAAGCACAAGCTGCTCGTTCGCATCACGCCGCACCCGGACATAGAGACTTCCAGCAAGATTCCCAAAACCGACCGACCATACGTGTTCGTTGCGCAATTCTAAAACACCGTCTACAGTGGACGCTTCACGAAATGCCTTGTCCAACGGACCAACCAAATGGGCTGGAACTGTTTGCAGGAGAATCCGACCACTAGGTGTGAAAACGAAAGGCAAAGAGAGGAACTCAAACAGGGTTTTCTTTGAGCGGATCAATTGTGGATAACTTGAAACGGACTGGGAAACTCAGGCGCAGCCCACGAGATAACTCAAAAACACAAAAATGCCAGTTGTATGTTCACTGACGGAATGAAACAGATCATGCACGATATGGATAAATCACTGATGATATCAAGTTGCGCAATGATTCGGCCTGAAAAGTGTTCCCACGGAAACGAGAAAACAAGCTCAGGGTCTTATTATACGTATGTGAGACCAGATAACTGACAGCTAAGAATATCAGGCGATTGGACGTCCCTGAGCACTGGTGCCTCGGGTCCATGCCCCAAGTAGCGGTGGCGTAGTGGTTTAGTCACTCACCTGCGTGCTTTGGATTCTATGGTTCGAGGTTAGATTCCCGTCCCCCAAATTTGGTGGTAGGCAGCTCTGCTGTCATCCGGCTCAATAAAACGCCTGACCTAACGGGACGTTTACCACTCCAAGTCTCGCAGCTTAGTTTACCGGTTCCCATCACTGAACAGCTGGTCTTCGTGATTATGGAGTTCAGCCCGTCTGCTGTTCATCACGGCATAAAAAGCGTAGCAGAATCTCTAATGAAACCTTTTGAAGGTGATACCGCATGACCCGTTTATCAACACACATGCAGCATTGCCCGCCTCAGTGATTGGGTGACCTCTTTCATGGGCTTAACAACACTCACGAACTCAGTCCCAGCATCGCCTCCATGATCAAACTGGCACTTTCGATGAGACAAATAAAAGCCTAGATGGGCACTGCGAAAACGTAGACTGAACTACCCTTCAGATAGTGCGCCGCACTTGTCCGTGAAAAACATCTGGATAAACATTCTTGAGTGGGTTGTAACCCAGAGCCAGATAACTAGTAGAGATCAGAGTCATTAGTGAAGCCGGCTCACCTCTCCCAGGGAGTAAGCACTGGTAAGCTGAAGTTAGTAGTGATACGATACACAGACTAGTTTATTTGCTTCATCAGCCTCAATACGCGACTCAATTAAATTATGCGCAGACGATCGGACTTATTCTGAGCGGGTGTACCTTTCTATGCAATTCCAGCCTGATCACCTGGCTGAATCCAAAGGACACGAGTATATTAAGCCTTTTTCAGGAACCAGGAACTTATGCGCTGTCAATTGGAACGTCTCGTGAAATCCCAGCTTAAAAATTAAGTAAAAGTTCAAGTGGCACAACACGCGTTATAGCTTACCTGTACAACATCATGGGCACCATCGTGCCGAACAACATCAGTGAGATAACCATACCACCGATGGTGTCCGGCAGTGGATCGGGTGCGTGTTCGTGGGGCGCTGAATGTTCGTGATGCGTGTGAATCGCTTCTGAATTCTGTGAAGCACGCATCACCCAATACACAGCTGCAACCACACTGGCAGCAGACACACCGACCAGGGCGAACGGATTCACGCGGGGTAACAAGATGCGTGCCAAACCGGGCACAATGCGACAAAGCGTGCGGCTGATATCGGTGGTGTGCTCCTAACCGGATTGGAGAAAATGAATTATTACCCTTCAAGTATATGAAACTGAATAAAATGACAAGATTGAAGTACTTTTATTAATGAAACAACAATCCGAAAGTGATATCTTCGGGTTGCGCTTTTTACTGGCACCTGAATGACCATACTTCGTGGGAACCTAGGCAACCAACGGAAAAAACACTGATTAGCATCCCTTTTGGAAAACCATTCTGTTTCATATGTAAACCCGTCGCATTAGCAAAATGTGAACTGACTCGAGCGCCTGGCATGTCCTAGAACAGAATACGCACAGCAATTAGACTGTTCTTGTTCTGTGGCTAAGGTAATAAGATAAGGAATTAACAAATCAATTTTTAATTATCCCAAAATATTTAAAAATGATAAATTTTATCAGCAGTGGATTATAGATTTTACAGAAAACCGCAACGGTTTCATTCAGTAGACAGCTACACTCATTTTGATTACAGTTGCGAGCATACTCAGAGAAAATTATCACCCAATAAAACGTGTCTTCGTAGATATTTGGATGCGTTGTCCCAATGACGGTCATTTTAATATGGTTATAGTAACAGTTTCTCTCCGCTGGCCCATAGGGCCGCAATATAGGATCGGTGCTGGTAAGCGAGGCACATGCCCCAGTCATAATGAGTCGTTTCCGGTAATCGCGAAGATTGAAAATTGCTACTGATACGAAACATTAATCCTAGAAGCTCATCGCCGCTACTGCCGACTACGAGTAGATCTTCGGAAACAACGATAACAGCTATATCCTTCGGGATCATTTGGGTTTGAGACAGCGATCTGTGGCACTGCATACACATCCCTGGTCTTGTCGTGTTACGTAAGCCCCATTGGTACCAAAAGTTACTACGTAAACGTGAGTTCGGTCTTGCTGAACAGATAGAAACTTCAACATCAAAAGAGAAAAAATGGAGGACGTGTCCGGTGTGCAAACTGGATATACCTAGACTTATCATAAAAAACTGAACACACCTGGAGCCAACTGGAACCACTGGCCAAAATCACGTGGCTAAATGCCGGATTTTCAACTCCATATATAGCCACAATATGCACGATCAGGGCTACTAGAGATGCAGCCAGGAGATAATGGATCTGAACCTGGAAGTAAAACAACGGGTAAGCTGAGTGAACGGAACCGGTGCATTTATCAATTTTCAGAAGCAAAGAATGGCATTTGTGCGTTTCCAAGCTCTATTACAGTTAAAAATCATCCTGACTGGGGATTTTATCAATCTAAACCCGTGCCACTACGGTCTCTGTGGTTCAGAACCCGGATTTGCACGGTTATCTCTCAGTAGCTCATTTGATAAATCACCAGAGTACTAAATGTCACAAAAGAGTACTCACAACAAGTGCAAGCTCAGAAATTTGAAACATGGTAGGCAAAGAAACTGACATCAGCAAAAACGCATTGTAATTCATCGTACGCAAAGTTATCTGTTATTACATACCGGTGAAGGCACGAGACCCTTAGGTATTGATTGTCGGATATAAACGGAGAACGCAACATCAAAATGATAGTAACACCGCGCGCGGAGTTGCCCACAGAGCAATGAATAAGACTGTTGAAGTTCTCAGCAGCAACTTTCATTACCCGATAGACACCCCTCGTTTAGCAGGAAGAACTTGTCGCCGGATTGTGGTGGTGATGTAGCGGTTTAGTCACTGTCACCGACGAGCTTTGAACCCTATAGTTCGAACCACGTCACTGCAACCCGACTGTGGTGGGAGACAGCTTTGCTGTCATCGGTTCTAAACCACACCTAACCTAGTGGGGCGTTATGTGGTTCACTACTTCAAGTACCCGAGCTGAAGTTACCGGTTTCCATCACTGAACATCAGGTCTTCGCGACTATGGGGTTTATCTCGTCTGCTGTTTATCACAAAAAGTGTAACGAAAAAAGGTCTGTATGCCATTTCACGGTGTACGACGCCATCCACAAACTCGGCTTTATGGCTGTATTTTTTCGGTAGTAAACCGGATGCTGCTTCGGATATGATTCGCGTAAAACTAGCTTTTCATATCAAAAATATCTGTTTTAATTGGGTCTTGTTTGATTTAAGGTTCAACGTGAAGAGGGAAAACGCCCCACAGACTGAGTGGAAATCACAAAAAACTTGCAGTCAAATAAGTTAAACTGAAGACTTCAGCCAATAGAATACGTTTCGCCGTGTTTCCTTTTTAGGAGCGAATACGGCTCTTCGGGGCTTCAACATATATTTATTCAGAGACTTTGTGGGTCCAAACTGCTTCTAGGCACATTAATCATGCAAGTATGAGTTAATATTCATTACTCCAAGAAAACAGACCAACTATCAGATACAATAGGTGCGCAATATATACAACATGTAACCAATTACATAGAATTGCCAAATGTACCACAACATGGGAAAGCGGTTTAAATGCAAATCAATGTATAGGAGTTTCGCAACAGGCGCGACATTGACAGCGGTTACCAGCCATGTGGACTAGTGTCTCAAGCCATAGATGTTTGATGTCCCTAAGACCCCAACCTCGAAGCCTAGAGCGTCCTATCACTGCCAGTTTTGAGGTTAACGCCTTAATCTTAAGAGCCCAGGCTTTTCGTTATCCACCTCGTCGCCTCTTCCAGCTAATGCATTTTATTCACTATTGTTGCCTGTTTCATACACGACCTACTTATCGGCATCAGAAAACGAAAAGACGGACAGATTAGTCAGGCTATTGTCAATAGCGTGAAACCTTATGAATGCTCCCAGACTTCGCCCTCAAAATAAATTAATGCCAACAGTAAGGAGTTGAACTAGTCAAAGAGGGATGAAAAAGAAATAACCCAACGTGGTTAGTACAGTTTAAAAGCCCTAGAATGTTTTTAAATTACACAGTTAACAATATAAAGTCTTAAGATAACAACATAAAACGGAACGAAATCCGATTTACCAGCGCTTTTATCAGTAGCTGAATATAACTTTGTTTGACTTACATGCGAAGGCTCGAAAAAGCGCTCCACGGCTTCCTTTATTTCGAAAAACGATGAAGCGATGGCTAAAATTGTGGCAGAGAAGACGGCAACCACTTCGAATCGTTCATACCCAAGTGTGTAACCATCCAGCGAGGCGTGTTTTCTTTTTGCCCACAAACTAGTCAAGGCCACGATTATGTACAACAAGTCGAAAATCAACAAGTGCGCAAACGCGGTCAACGTCAAACTGTTTTAAAAGCAAACGTATATTCTCTCGCCCTCGCCGAATAGGATTTGCCTTACCTGTTACTGGCATTGCAAGCAATCAGTAGGAGGAGCAAGCAAAATCCCACAACGAAACCAACACAGACGGTACGATGGGCTCGCGACTCTACCAATATCATCTGCTTCGCCTCAGACAGAATATATGTGAGAAGAGAGCAAAATGTGTACAACTCATTTTGTATGCTCTGTAAAATTTGCCCAATCAGCTTCATTCTGTAAAAAAAAATAGTTTAGACAACCTTATCAAATGATAAAACTGTTGAAGTTGAGAAAATTTTACAATCATTGACAAACCACTCAAATGTTCTTTTATGGTTATTTTAGGACAAAACGAGTACCGAATTAGACACAAAAAGGTGGGAAACATTACAAATAGCGTGATAAAATGATACTGCGAGGGAAACACGCTGGTTAGATGCTGTTCAGTCCCCAACTGAACAACCGTTGCGCATCCTAGCCAGGCAAAACTAATCCACTGACGTGAAGTATTCTGTAACGGTTCAGGATGGCACACCGAGCACCTTATGTATATTTATCCCCTTGCAAATTTTACGAACTTACCCCAAATCCGTATGCAGCAATACTCACCCGGTTCTGGTGAACATTCAGCTGATCCGAAATCACCAGGTGAATTCATTTAAAGTAGAATTTGTCGTGTGTTTAACAAATGAAGCGTGAACTGAAAAGACAGGAAGCACTGGGCAGCTGTTTCGACCTGGTTGGTTCTCATCAGCAGTACAAATCCATCGACCTAACCGGTCTGATTAGCTGACCAGTGGCCGAGTGGCTGGTATGCTAGCGTTCTGCCTGTGAGGTGCCGGGTTCGATTCCCAGTTGAGTCGATGAATTCACATTGCTGATGAGACCCAACCAGGTCGAGACAACTGTCTAGTGCTTCCTAGTTTTTTTAGTTCACGCTTCATTTGTTATATAAACGACGAATTCTCTTTTCGAATTGAATCAAATCCTACATTACTCACATAAATTCATCTACCCTAACAATAACATGTCGCACTTGAGAAACGTCAATAATCACAGAAGCAAATCATAAACCCGATGAAGCTTCAACCAACAGCGCAGACAATCATTAGAGTCCCTTACGCTAGTGCACCTGCTCAGATGCTTTGCAACGTCGATCCCCTGGATTATCTACCTTCACATTAATACTGCTTGCGTCGTTCTATTTTTCCCTCTACTCCTACATTCGATCGGGTCAAATCGGGCCAAATGACAACAACTCAAACCGATACGTGGAAGTGCAAGGCTAATGAGTGCGAACTGAATCTGAACTTTGCACTTTGAATGATATCGATATTTCCACATTAAAACATCCTTTTTGTGCACCACCCAACATCTACAAAACCATTTAAACATCTGCTTCTCTAAAGGGTGATACCCTTCGATTTCGGAAATTGCTGCTTGATTCTGCATCTTTTCTGTTCATCGCGGGTTTCTTTCTTCTCCTGTCTCTTGGGTTCCGCATTTGTCCTACGTCACCAGAAATAGTTGTTTTATTTTCCGTGCCGAACGTCTTTTCACTCCTACTACACAATTACTTTCGAACACTTCTCTATCCTTTATTGATTGTGTTCAACGTAAGACCGTCGATCTCATTGTTGATCCATGCAGTCACTAACCCGCCGCTGGGGTTATACGTTACTTAGCATTTTCCTTGCTATCATAGTTTCTGCTATCCAAACTTGCATTTTTAACCTTCACGCACCTTCTGCTCACTTATCTGATTCACAAACATGCGACAAACTATCCTTACCCTCGTACCCGAATCTCAATGGATTGGATAGACATTGCATCCTGATAACTCCTAGTAGCGGAGTGAGTTTTATCCCTTATATTGTGACATATGAATCATACACTGGATAGCCCAATGTACCTCAACACCTGAGGAAATTGTTGAAAATTTAATATCTCTGGCAAACTCAAGTGACAAATTATTACAAGCACAACGCCGAACACGTGGACTCAGTGGTACATCCAGATTCCCGAAGACCAAAATTTAAGGAAACGTAAACTGCGGAAAATGCACTCGAATGAATTAACGACCAAAACGTTATCCTATAACTAAATAATAAATAAAATAAAGCACATCAAACCTCTTTACAGAGCGACAAGAATCGCTTTTTATTGCACATACGGGTAATGAACGGTAGACGGGATGAACCCCATAGTCGCGAAGACCTACTGTTCAGTGATGGAAACCGGCAACCTAAGCCCCGGGACTTGGAGTGGTGAACCACATAAGGTCCCGCTAGCCTAGGTCGGGTGTCGAACCGGATAACAGCATAATATGAAGGGCACTTTTCCTTACATATTTTTGGCTTTAATAATCTGTATCGTGAACAAAGCACTACTCCCAAGTGTCCTTAATGAGAAGTTGATTTCTCACATTCGTCTGAAACCAGACCATGCCAAATAAATAAAGCAATAAGTGTATGGTATTTGCGTGGTTACCTGCCTCATAAGGAATCAATAAGGTGTTCAATTATATAACATTAAACTATGTGACCACTGAAGTCTCCAAGACGAAGAGTATATTCAATCGGTTGCTGTGCACGCAAACAACACGAACAGTGGCGCAGCGGTTTAGTCGCTGTCACTGGCGTGCTTTGGACCCTATGGTCCGAGGTTCGAGC